AGGGGGCCAGTTCACTGTCCCTCAGACCGAAGGAGGGCTGGGACTATAGTTTAAAAAAAAAAAAAAAAAAAAAACTACGAACAAATGCGGACACAGTACAGGTGATGACCAGAGACTGCGGACATACAACGGCGGCGGGAATACTGGGCCGGCCACTCCATAAGACGCACAGACATTTCCCCCCCAAGTTTGTCTTATGGAGCGAAATAGTGTGCCATCATTGGTGTCAGTGGGAGGAATCGTGCCCCATCATTGGTGTCAGTCGGAGGAATCGTGCCCCATCATTGGTGTCAGTGGGGGAAGGAATAGTGCCCCATCATTGGTGTCAGTGGGGGAAGGGGATAGTGTCCCAACATTTGTGTCAGTGGGAGGAATAATGTCCCGTCATTTGGTGTCAGTGGGGGGAATAGTGCCCTGTCATTGGTGTCAGTAGGGGGGGAGAGTGCCCTGTCATTGGTGTCAGTAGGGGGGGGAGAGTGCCCCGTCATTGGTGTCAGTAGGGGGGGGAGAGTGCCCCGTCATTGGTGTCAGTAGGGGGGGGGGAGAGAGTGCCCCGTCATTGGTGTCAGTGGGGGGGGGGGAGAGTGCCCCGTTATTGGTGTCAGTGGGGGGGGGAGAGTGCCCTGTTATTGGTGTCAGTGGGGGGGAGGAGAGTGCCCTGTCATTGGTTTCAGTAAGGGGGGGATAGTGTCCCAACATTGGTGTCAGTGGGAGGAATAGTAAGTCATTTGTGTCAGTGGGAGGAATAGTACCCCATCATTGGTGTCAGTGGGGGAAGGAATAGTGTTCCATCGTTGGTGTCAGTGGGGGAAGGAATAGTGTTCCATCGTTGGTGTCAGTGGGGGAAGGAATAGTGTTCCATCGTTGGTGTCAGTGGGGGAAGGAATAGTGTTCCATCGTTGGTGTCAGTGGGGGGAAGGAATAGTGTTCCATCGTTGGTGTCAGTGGGGGGGAGGAATAGTGCCCCATCGTTGGTGTCAGTGGGGGGGAGGAATAGTGCCCCATCGTTGGTGTCAGTGGGGGGGGGAATAGTGTCCCAACATTTGTGTCAGTGGGAGGAATAGTACCCCATCATTGGTGTCAGTGGGGGAAGGAATAGTGTTCCATCGTTGGTGTCAGTGGGGGGGGGGAATAGTGCCCCATCGTTGGTGTCAGTGGGGGGGAGGAATAGTGCCCCATCGTTGGTGTCAGTGGGGGGAATAGTGCCCCATCGTTGGTGTCAGTGGGAGGAATAGTACGTCATTTGTGTCAGTGGGGGGAATAGTGCCCCGTCATTTGTGTCAGTGGGGGGAATAGTGCCCCGTCATTGGTGTCAGTGGGGGGGGGGAATAGTGCCCCGTCATTGGTGTCAGTGGGGGGGGGGAATAGTGCCCCGTCATTGGTGTCAGTGGGGGGGGGGGAATAGTGCCCCGTCATTGGTGTCAGTGGGGGGGGGGAATAGTGCCCCGTCATTGGTGTCAGTGGGGGGGGGGGGGGGGAATAGTGCCCCGTCATTGGTGTCAGTGGGGGGGGGAATAGTGCCCCGTCATTGGTGTCAGTGGGGGGGGGGAATAGTGCCCCGTCATTGGTGTCAGTGGGGGGGGGAATAGTGCCCCGTCATTGGTGTCAGTGGGGGGGAATAGTGTCCCAACATTGGTGTCAGTGGGGGAAGGAATAGTGTTCCATCGTTGGTGTTAGTGGGGGGGGGAGGACTAGTGCCCCATCGTTGGTGTCAGTGGGAGGAATAGTACGTCATTGGTGTCAGTGGGGGGAATAGTGCCCTGTCATTGGTGTCAGTGGGGGGAAGAGTGCCCCGTTGGTGTCAGTGGGGGAAGGAATTGTGTTCTGTCGTTGGTGTCAGTGGGGGAAGGAATTGTGTTCGTCGTTGGTGTCAGTGGGGGGGTGGAATAGTGTTCCGTCGTTGGTGTCAGTGGGGGGGTGGAATAGTGTTCCGTCGTTGGTGTCAGTGGGGGGGTGGAATAGTGTTCCGTCGTTGGTGTCAGTGGGGGGGTGGAATAGTGTTCCGTCGTTGGTGTCAGTGGGGGGGTGGAATAGTGCCCCGTCGTTGGTGTCAGTTGGGGGGTGGAATAGTGCCCCGTCGTTGGTGTCAGTTGGGGGGGGAATAGTGCCCCATCGTTGGTGTCAGTGGGAGAAATGCCCCATCATTAGTATCAGTGACACCAATGATGGGGCACTATTCTTCCCACTGACACCAATGACACTTAACTTGCTGACCCCTGTTCCAGCTTGGTGCTGCTGCTGCTGCAGCCAGCATACCTGGTTGCAGCAGCACCATCTGCATGGCATACTTTCCTGTCAGCTGTCCTTCTTCACACCGACCTCTCCTTCACTCAATGTTCGCGGGACCGCTCGGCTCCGCACCTCGCAGGTGATTGGCCGCCTGTGTGCCTTTCCTGAGCTACAGTTCTGGCGCCCAATCACCGGTGAGGAGGCGAAGCCGAGTGGCAGCGTTAACTTCGAGTGCGGGAGTGAATGAAGAAGCAGCGCTTCCTGGACTGGATCATGAGACTGGGACCGGAGCCAGGTAAGATACAGCAGCCCCCTGCCTGCCCCTGTACTTTGTGTCCCTTCCTCGCGGCAAATACGCCCCTGCCGGCGGGCCGGATAAATGTCCTCGGCGGGCCACATGTGGCCCGCAGGCCGTAGTTTGAGGACCCCTGATCTATAACAGTTTGAAGACGCTATAACTTTTTATAAAAAGCAATCAATATACATTTATTGTGATATTATTATAATTATTTTTTTACCAAAAGCATGTAGCAGAATACATTTTGGCCTAAATTTATGAAGAAATTTTAGTTTTTTTTGGATATTTTTTGTGACAGAAATGAGAAAATATTTTTTTAAAAACAAATTTGCACTCTTTTTTGTTTATAGCACGAAAAATAAAAAGCAATCAAATACCACTGAAAGATCTATTTGTGTGGGAAAAAAAAAGGACATAAACTTTGTTTGGGTGCAGCATTGCATGACCGAGCAAATACCAGTTGAAATAGTGCAGCGCCGAATAGCAAAAGGAGGCCTGGTCAGGAAGGGGGGTAAATCCTCAGGAGTGCAAGTGGTTAAAGCAGAGAGCTCCACCCAAAAGGGGAAGTTCCGCTTTAAGGACTGCTCCCCCACTCCTCATTAAGGATTGGCACCTTTAGGGGGGCGGGTACCCGCTTTTTGACAGATACCCGCCCCACTTCCAGTCCGATCGCCTAGGCGATCGGAATTGGAAGGTGTCCTCCCTCCCTCTCTGTAGTCTTTTGGGACATGTGACCGGTCCCAGAAGACTACAGGACCATTCATGAAGCGCAGCGCTACTCGTGCATGCGCAGTGGGTACCCAGCTGTGAAGCTGCGAGCAATCGCAGCCAGTTGCCCACACTGAAGATGCCGGCCTCCTGGAATGCAGATGGCCGGTGAAACGGGCGGCAGGTGACATACCGAAGGACGGGTAAGGGGCTGTTTTTTTTTTAGAAGTCAGCAGCTACAGTTTTTGTAGCTGCTGACTTTTATTTTTTGACAGTGTGAGTGGAACTCCGCTTTTAAACAGCACTTGCTCTAACCACCCTAGAACTCCCAAATGTGTACTATAAATTATTGTATAACTTTTTTTTTTTTTTTTTCTTTTTTTTTTTTTCTGAACCTTTAGTTGGTTAAAGTTTTGAAGTATCATCATCTGGGTATAGTGCTTTGGGTGTGGCGAGCAAGCTGTATAGATAAGATAAGGATAATGGTTCAAGTACTTGCTGTAACTTCCTAAAATGTTTTTGCCGGAGTTGGGCCTTAATTTTTTTTTTTTTTTTTTCTGTTTTGTTTTGTTTTTTTTCTCTCACAGGGTGACAATGTTCCCATGCTAGTTCACTACAGAACAAATATGGTCACCTGTTAAAGTCTAATGCCAGGTTTTGTGTTGCTTTAACTAGTTCATTTGTACAGAGCCTGCACAAACTATTTCCATTACTAAGATATGCAGCTGCTGCATGCACTGTATAGACTCTGCGTAGCATCAGCTACATACAATATACAGCGCTGTGTTTAGGCAGCAGTACGGGAACTTCCCATCTGCAGTTATTACAAGATGGAATTGGGCTGAGTGCTGCAAAGGAAGCCTTGTATTTTAATGAATGCAAGGCTTCCTTTTACTGGCTGCGGTAGAGGGGCAGGCATATGGTGTTACAATCTCCACCTCTTCCATTTAGAGCAAGCTTAGTATTCATAAAAAAAAAAGGCAAGGCTTCCTGTGATTGGCTAAGCAGCTTGCGGTCTGACTAGATTTTATCATTCAGATGTTAAGTAAGGTAGCCTAGTACTGTCATACACCCAAACATTAAATTTTTATCCATGATCTTTTTCTTGTGAAAAAGTAATGCAGACCAGACCAATAATGCTCTGGGTTCAGTTCAAGTGGTGTTTGGCAAATTGCAAAGAAGTTGGGGATGCCAAACCTAAACTCCATGTGTGTTGTGTGGGTGTGTGTTTTTTTTTTTTTTTTTTTTTTAAATAAAAATAAAAGAAACGTCAGAAGCGCTTATCTGAATACTTGCTTCAGGTCAGGATTTAAACTATTTAAGCAAGAGGGTCAGCATTACAGATGGGCAACTAGCATATGCAGCAATGGCAGCCTGCCTGTGTTCCCAGAAAAGGTTTGCTCTAAAACTGAACCCCCAACAATTTGTTAAATACAAATATGAACTGTCTTACCTGAGGGAAGACCTGTAATTCCGTTCTAGCTAGACTGCAATGCCAGGTTAGGAACCTCTTTTTCTACACTGTATTATACCTACACACTAACCGAAAAAAATGAACCGTAGAGGACCCCCTCCCCAAATGGATGTCATAGGTATTGTTGCTTTTGTCTCTCTTCTCCTGTCAATAAGCACCCAGTGTTGGATAGGCATCACATTACAATGCGTAAAGCTTCTTTGATTAATAAAAAGGTGCTAATTTTTTTTTATTTGCATTGTGTTTACTAGAACCTTCTAAGCTTCTCTTTGCTTTGTCTCTGATACAGACATGAAGATACTTTATAGGATGCCATCATTGGTGCTGCGCAGCCTTGCCAGACCGCCAAGGTAAGGCCTGATAATCAGAATCCTGCACAGGGCAATTTTGAGACAGCTGAAGCTTTCTTTTTGCTGGTATTTAATCACCACTGGGTTTATTTTTTGCTAAATTAATGAAAAAATACCAAACCTTTTTGGGGAAAAAAAACATTTTGCAAATAAATAATCTTCATAAATTTAGGCCAACATGTATTCTGAGACATTTTCTTTCGTTAAAAATAACTCAAGTCAGAGTATATTTAGTCTGTAGGAAAAATAGTCTACAAATTATGGTATATATCAGGGTATTGAATTAAAATTCATGGAGGTCTAGGTAGTAAAACGTTCTTCCAGCAGAGATCCGAGTCCCAAAATGTTTGCACGATGAATCCTTCACATCACAGCCCTCGTCTCCTTTTTAGGCTAGGTTCACATCTCTGTGGCTGGGAAACATGCACAAAATTGCATGTGTTCTGACCCACAGAGAAATGCACTGCACTTTAGCAGATGTGCGGGGTGCCATTGGCTGTTAATGGCAGCCCACACATCAGCTATGGCACAATTTTTGTGCATGCCAAATTATATGGTGCTGCAGCATCGTGCAGCTTGGCGTGTTGTGATTTAAAAAGAAAAATGTGTGGACTGCCTTGCCTGTGACATGCACATTCAAATGCGCATGCACAGATCTGAACCGAAGACTCATATCACATTCCAGTTCTTACAGCATCCCCCTCACATCACAGTCCCTCCCCTTCACATCAAAATCCCCCTGTCCACCCCCTGATCTCCCTTTTTTCCTGACTATCACTTGCTTTTCTGAATCTAGCACTGAAATGACTGGTCAATGACCAGTAGGAGCAGTGACATCACTTCCTAGGTGTGTGTTGGTCACAGACCTCTCCATACCCAGAAGGGCTGGTGCTGCTGTCTGCATGGGCAGGTATCAATGTGTCTAACAGTTTTGCTGCCAGATCCATTTTTTCTTTTTTTTTTTTTTTTTTCTTTCTTTAAAAATTTTAAATGTCCATTTTTGACCTGAAGACTACTCCAAAACTCTCAATAGTATATATTTTCTAAAAGTGGAGGCCCTGTAGAATAAAATGATGGTGGTTCCCATTTGTTTGCATGATATTTGTACCACGGCTTATCAACTCAATATTTTTCAGTAAAAATTACACTTTGATTCTCTTTGTGCACACAAACACATAAAACATAATGCACAATATTTTTTTTTAATTCACTTTACTAGTGAATTACTACAATTGGAGAGTGCAAAATCTGGTGCAGCTCTGCATAGTAACCAATAGTTTCCAGGTTTTTTTCAACGCTTGATTGAACAAGCTGCAGTTTGAAGCTGATTGGCTACCATGCACAGCTACACTAGATTTTGCACTCTTCAGTTTTAGTCAATTAAAGTGTTACTAAACCCACAGCAGTAAAATCCATCTTTTATATGCTGTAAAGCATGCTTATTGTACTCACTGTGGAACCTAAGGGGTTAATCCTCCGCATTGTGTTAAAAGGCTGTTTGTTCCTGTCTTCCCTGATCCTCCCTTTCTTTTACTATCCCCAATCCATCTGCTGATAGTAGAGAGCCCTTGGAGGCACTGTGCACATGCTCAGTTTGGTGCGTATTGCTATAATTTTTTTTTCTTCTGAGAGGGTGCATGTGATCAGCACAGGGTCAGGGGTCATGCAGCCTCATAGGATAGTCAGAGGAGAATGAAAACTCCTCCTACAAGCTTTAACCAGTGCTCAGCCAGACACTGATAGAAGTCACAAGACTGCTATATACTGTGTATGAAAAAAGCTATTTAGCAGTTTATATTTATTAATAAATAATTGCATTTCCATGTTTTGTGTTCTGTGGGAGACCGGATATAGTGAATGTAGGGTCCTGGTTTTAGTAACACTTTAACCCCTGTATGCTTTTTTTTTTGTGGTGTTATTAAAGCTATAGCACAACAGTGAAAGCCTAATTAACACATAGGTTTTGTAAAGAGGTTATACATGCAAATGCCCAGGGCTCAGGCCCTCTGCTCCCTGCTCACCACTATCACTTGTAAACACAGAAGTCTGGCTTCTGTGTTTTTACAGGTTACAGCTAGTCTCCCAATGGCTCCCACTGAGTGCAGGATGAGGACAAGGGAGATGCAGGTGCCCGGCGGATGATGCAGATGCTGGCACCCCCACTGGATGATTTCAATGCAAGTGAGTGAGGTGAAGCCACCTATAGTGTGCTGGGAGGTACTTGAGTCGGCTTGGGTGCTTCAGCTTCATACAGCAACAAAAGTAACCCGTGTGAAAGATGGTGGAGCTATTAAGGAGGGGGGAGAAAGATGGGAGCAGTGGAGGAGGGGGTGATTGCATGCAGAGGTGGGAGCTGAAGAGTGCTGAAAGTGAGATGTGGATGGGGGGAAACAGAGGTAAGTATCTGCGAAAGCGGTCTGAACTCTGCACTCTGTACATAGCGCACCCGAGAACTCTGCACTCTGTACGTAGCGCACTTGAACTCTGCATGTAATGCACTCCTGGTGTTTAATGCCCCTTGAAGACCTTCCCACTGTTAGTGAAATGTAACGCATGTGTGTGTTGGAAGGGGGTTGTGGTAGTTCCTGCAACTATTCTCTGAGAAAAGAAGCCCTGCAAATGCCTATAAATACCATATATCGAGTTTTGCTACTCCAGCAAACATTTTGTCTCTTTTCATTCCCCTTTATGTTAACCTAGTTCCATCTTTATTCCATCTTGCTTCCCCTTCCCTGTGCTTAGTCCCTGCTCCCAAAGAAACATGACAAAATCTCACTTAGGAGCCCAATCATTTGTGTATTAAATTCCACAGTAGTTAGAACATCGCTCTCAAGTGGTTTTTCCACCATGGAAACAAATAGTTACAAAACCTGACTGCTAACACAGCTTTTCCGGTCACATGACTGGAAACCAGGATCAAAGTTCTGTGATATCTTTCACCCTGATCTTTCCATTGTGGCAGAAAATGAACACAGTTCCACCGTAATCCATTGCCTTGCCTCCCTTAATAGCAATTCATTGTGCTTTTGTCTTCGAAAATATTAGTCCTATTAAGTAGCCTTTTGTATTTTGCAGTATATGTTATGTTTAGCAGCAGTATTATGGAATACTAGCAGTCTCATACTTGCATAAGAACCCATTTTTCTGTTTTTTTTTCATAGTCCTTTTTATAAAAAATATATACAAAATTGAATCTGTATGCTTCTGCCAACTGCTGCATCATCATTTTGTTTGGTATACTAAACTGTCTGAACACTTTTGTAGCACTTCCCCTGGAGGAGCTGTTGGATAGTATGTCTCTGTATCTCTACTTGGAGATGACACCGCTTGCTCACCCTGCACTTACCAACACACCTTGGGGTACTTCAAAGAATATATTTGAACAGAAACAGCCTGAAGGAAAACCGTTAGTGAGGCAAAGTACCAACAGGCAATAATATTCATATATTGACCCAAAGAGAAAATTGGCTAAATATTTATTTCCAACTTAGCAATAAATGACTTTTGAGTAAAGGCTATTTGGAATAGCTGAACAGTCTTTTTGCTGGTCAGTGTTAGATGGAATAAGTGCATTGGCTGGCAATGGTGGGGCCCCTGAAGTAATAACTACAGTCCCAATAGGAAAGGAAGTCCTCTTGTGAGGGGATCAATCCCTGGATCTTTCTTTTCAATATAGGCAGTGGGAAGAGAGGTTCTCTAATGCAGTTCAGACTCCCAGGGTGTTCATAGCATACCTCATACCCTCCCAGGGAGTAAATTCTTGATCTCCAACTGACAGTCTGTTCCCGGGCTTCTTGGAAGGGCTGCTCATCAGCAGTCACCAGCATCAGGGTCCTGGACTCCACTTGGTGATGGTCTTCAGCAGCAAGGTTCCGGGGTCATTTGGTATCAATCGCCAGCAACGGAACTCCAGTCTCACTTGAAAGCGGCCACTGACAGGGATTCCAGTCTCACTTGACAAGTGGCACCAGCAGTGGTGGTTCCCAGCTCAATTCCCCACTCCCTCTTGTGCCCATTCACCATGAATTTGTTTCCTGTCAACCCTTGTGTCCAGCTCCTCCCCTTCCTTTTTTCTGTCCCCACGATACTTCCCTTTTTGGTTGATCCAGACACCACCAAAATGACTGCTCCCTGTGGTCTCCTCCTGTATTACTGAATGTTCAGGAAGAAGGGTCACACGAGATCCGGAGGATTGATGAATATTTATTAATCCATAGGACACACAAAACACCAGGACATAAATACAGGACCTGTTGCACGTTTTCACACGATCTCATGCTTAAAACACCAGAACATGAATATAGGACCTGTTTATGATTAAGCATGAGATCGTGTGAAAACGCGCAACAGGTATTTATGTCCTGGTGTTTTGTGTGTCCTATGGATCAATAAATATACACTATATTCATCTATCCTCCGGTGTGCGGCTAACTCTTCTTCATGTTGCATTGTGTGTGGTGGCGAGCCAGAGTCTGTACCTGTCGTAGATTGATCTGGATTGTTTGCCTGAGCGGTATACCTCTGTTCTTTGGATTACTGAATGCTCAACTAGTGCTCTTCTGAGGCTAGGTTCACACTATTGCGTGCGGCCCCCATCTTTGCGGGCTTGGCAGCCCATTCATTTGAATGGGCTGCTGTGCCTGCGTTGCACACACAGTGCATGCACCTTTTAGAAAAAAAAATGCATCTGAAGGGAGAGCGCACGGTATTGTTGACCATGTGCTTTCCCTGTGGTTCATGCACCCGTGATTGCCCTGCGAGCTGAGATGTGTGGGAGTGCCATTCCGAATGAATAGCAGCCCTGAGAATCTTGCAAAAGCAGCGCGATTCAGCTGCAGGTGGTTGCGAGGACAGGTGCGATTCCTGCACCCGCAACCAGCCTGCAGGCTAGTGTGAACCAGAGCTTTAAAGATGGCGGCTGTACTCCTACAAGTAACTGCTGGACATAACTCTGTCAGTTCCACAGTAGAATAATTCAGCAACAACAAAAATAGCAGAAAAGTCCTGCAGCAGCTATAGTTCTGGTTGCTTAAAGATTTAAAAAAAAAAAAAAAAACCTTATCGTATCATACATTTTCATTCACTTTCAGAAATATCCTCTCAAGTCCATATAAAGCCGGTGTCATGCAATGGCGTCTGTGAACCTTACTGTCCTTTTCTGAAATTCGATAATACTTTCTCTCCTCTACTAGTTAGAGGCAACTCCTTATCTCCTTCTGTTTCCACAATATGCCAAGGCAATTTATTTTATGGCTTTTATCTTATCAGGTAATTGCTGCTGATATGAACTCCCAACAGTAAACTCTCTTCCTCAGAGAATATGCTGTCCTTGATTTGATTTGTATATATATTTTTAAGCAACTGGTCAGCAGGAACTGGCTGATTGATCCATCTATGGATAGGCTGGTTGTACTGAAGTTGATCTATCAATTTTACTTAAGTACAACCAACCCGTTAGGGGCTATAGACGCCAACACAGACTGTGTTGATGGGGGGGAATCTAATGATTTCTTTTTTTTTTAACCCAAAAGTTGCATAATGTATGGCCTGTCTAAATTGACTTGTGGTTTTTATACAATTTTGTGTTCAGAATAATAGTGTCTTTTAAAAAAAAAAAAAAAAAAAAGTAAAGCTCAAAATTCTTCTAATAGCTTTTATTTGCATACATGTAAATGCATTGGAAACACTGCAGTCTATTCCAAATCAAAAGAAAAATGTTTCAAATTTATTACTTTACAGAAAGTGAAGAAAAATTAATATTGGGCTGTCTGCATTTTTTTTTTCTTTACAAATTCAAACATTTACTGTATAAACTGTAAAATGAACTTTCCTGTACAGCACTGAATTAATTGCCCCTTTTAACTAGACGGAATCAGCAGCATACAGGTCATGACTGTTGTGTTTGTTGGTTTTCTATTACTCTACTACACCTACTAGAAAATTATTTGCCATGTAGAAATATAATTTATACAAAAAATCGTGATTGATCTGGTTGGTGATGTTGGACTGCTATTATTTTGAACACAACTGTATGTGGGAAAATCAAGACCATGTTTACAAATATGAATGGTAGTCAGAATTTGTATTGCACTGCCTTTTTGTTGAGTTTTTTTTAATGCACTTTTGCTGGCTTATAAAATGGCTAAATATTCTTATTTACCTTCGCTATCCAGATTTTCCCACACTGCAGTGCAACCAAAGTAGAATCCAGTTGCTTAAGGCTACATGTACGTTTTTGTACAAATTAGCAAGGGTATGTGACCTATTATTGACAAGCCCATGACCTAGAGATTTCAAATATAGGCAAAAAGGATAGTCCATGAGAAATGTTAAGCTGGCCTGACATGTAACTTTGGACCATTTACTCAATTGCAAAGCTTGATTTTTTTTTTTTTCCGATTTGGCCATATATCTGTATTTTTAAATCATTCAGCAAGCTGCAAAAGCTAAACAATGTGGTCATCATGCAGTCATAACTCCAGCTTCATGATGAGTAGTGTATCCATGTGTCCCTGTATGGAGAGTATATGGTGCGAGCTTGATTGCAATGTTTTATTCTTCATATAGAAAATTTACTAAGACTGGAACAGATAGAATCTGGAGCACATGCCAATCAATCCATCCATCCAGCTTTAATTTGCAAAGTTTAAGGCCCCTTTCACACAGACGTAGTTTTTTTTAATCAGTTCAGTCATGTTTTTCTGACTCCACTACCAATGTATAAACGGACCATTTGTCCATTTTATATCCAATTTTCATCTGTTCCGGATGGATGAAAAAAGAACAAACTGAACGCTTGTACGAAAGGGGCCTAACTTGGACAAACTGAAGTTAGAACCTGGAGCAGATGTGCCAATCAACTTTTATCCTCCCAGTTTTTGCACGTTTCCCACATTGTATTTTACTGTTCTTTCCATTATTTCCTAGGTTGCAGAAGCAGATGGTGGTTTGGGTACAGATCTGCACACAAGAGAGAAGATATAAGAGCACAGAAGCAAGACCCAGAGCAAAAAACTGGGAAAAGGGTGTCATCGCAGCTGGGGCACTTATAGGATTGGGTGGCTTCTTGATTTATGAGGCACAGCAGAGAAAAGTAAGTACCATGGAGAACTAGATTATATACATACACACTAGTAAAGTGTGCTCATTCAAGAACAGGCACGTTTGTAAGAAATAAACTAAAACAATATTCAGTATTTCCGAATTATCGGGATGAGTGGAGATTGTCAAGCAAAGGTGAGAAGGGAGTAAAAATAACTTTGCAGAGGGTTTACAGCTTGAAAATTGAGTGGAGGTTGTTGGGCATGGTGAGTTCTCGGTGAATGGAATGGAATTTGCAGGCAGAGGTGAGCATTCACTGGATTAATGAAACGAAGGGGGGTGGTTATTGGTGGTTGGCAGGAAAGTGTTAGTTAAGGAAGGGGTTAATAAAGGTTGTCGTACCGGAATGTGCTGAGTGAAGGGATGAATGGACTGCTACAAAGTAAGTTGTATGCGGTTAATTCATAGATGTGATGTGGAAGGGGGGAGTAGGGGGTGTAATGTGTATGGCTGTGTTTTTTTCCTAGCAAAAAAAAGTGATGTGTGCCCCAAAGTAAAGGTCTGCTTTGAGGGAGAGGGAATGTATGGATTTTTTTTTTTTTTTTTTTCTTTTCTTGCGACTGTTGAGCAGTGAGCATGTATGGTGCGGCCTAAAAGCAGGTGATGAGGGGGAATAGTTGTGTTTTGAAAGCAGGACATTTGCATAAAGCATTCATTCTAGGAACACACAGAGCCAAACAGAAAAGTTTTTGAAGTTATGGAAATTTCTAATCCATCACCTTGCTGTCATCTGAACAGGTAGAGCCGAAATCAGAGAGCAGCTCACAAGATCTGTGTGCTGCAGCCCATATGGCTCTGTGTAGTAGTAGTACCACTAGTGGAAGTAGTAGTAGTGGTGGTGCTACTAGTAGTACTACTAGTCATACCACTACCACCACTATTACTAGTGCTCCTACTACTAGCAGTAGTAGTAGTGGTACTACCACCACCAGTAGTAGTAGTAGTTACTACTAATAGTAGTAGTTACTAGTAGTAGTTACTAGTAGTAGTAGTAGCTACTACTAGTAGTAGTAGCTAGTAGTAGTAACTACTAGTAACTACTACTACTACTACTACTACTACTAGTAGTAGCACTACTACTACTACTACTACTACTACTACTACTACTACCATTACTGGTGGTGGTGGTAGTAACTACTACTACTACTACTACTACTACTACTACTACTAGTAGCAGCTACTACTACTAGTAGTAGTAGTAGTAGTAGTAGTAGCTACTATTAGTAGTAGTAGTTACTACCACCACCACTATATACTACTACTACTACCACCACTACTGGTGGTGGTGGTAGTAACTACCACTACTACCACCAGTAGTGGTGGTAGTAGTAGTAGTTACTAGTAGTAGTAGTAGTAGTAGTAGCAGTAGTAGTAGCAGCAGCTAGTAGTAGCAGCAGCTACTAATAGTAGTAGTAGTACTACTACTACTAGTAGTAGTGGTGGTGGTGGTGGTAGTAACTACTACTACTACTACTAGTAGTAGTAGTACTATACTATACTACTAGTAGTATTAGTAGTTACTTCTAGTAGTAGTAGTTGTAGTTAATACTACTAGTAGTAGTAGTAGTTACTACTAGTAGTTACTACTACTACTAGTAACTACCACTACTGGTAGTAGTAGTAGTTACTAGTAGTAGTTACTAGTAGTAGTAGTTACTACTGCTAGTAGTAGTATTAGTAGTAGTTACTACTACTACTAGTAGTAGTATAGTAGTAGTTACTTCTACTACTACTAGTAGTAGTAGTAGTAGTAGTTACTTCTACTACTACTAGTAGTAGTAGTAGTTACTAGTAGTAGTAGTTACTAGTAGTAGTAGTAGTTACTACTACTACTACCACTACTGCTGCTAGTAGTAGTTACTAGTAGTAGTAATAGTTACTACTACTAGTAACTACTACTAGTAGTAGTATTAGTAGTTACTTCTAGTAGTAGTAGTAGTAGTTAGTAGTAGTAGTAGTTAATACTACTAGTAGTAGTAGTAGTAGTAGTTAGTACTACTAGTAGTAGTTACTAGTAGTAGTAGTAGTTACTACTGCTAGTAGTAGTAGTAGTTACTACTGCTAGTAGTAGTAGTAGTTACTACTGCTAGTAGTAGTAGTAGTTACTACTGCTAGTAGTAGTAGTAGTTACTACTGCTAGTAGTAGTAGTTAGTACTACTACTGCCAGTAGTAGTAGTATTAGTAGTTACTTCTACTACTAGTAGTAGTAGTTACTAGTAGTAGTAGTTACTACTAGTACTAGTAGTAGTTACTACTACTAGTAGTTACTACTAGTAGTTACTACTACTAGTGGTAGTAGTTACTACTAGTAGTAGTGGTAGTAGTAGTTACTACTAGTAGTAGTTAGTAGTAGTAGTTACTACTACTAGTGGTAGTAGTTACTACTAGTAGTAGTGGTAGTAGTAGTTATTACTAGTAGTGGTAGTAGTAGTAGTTTTAGTAGTAGTAGTAGTAGTAGTTAGTAGTAGTAGTAGTAGTTAGTAGTAGTAGCTACTAGTAGTACTGGTGGTGGTAGTAACTACTACTACTACTAGTAGTTTCTAGTAGTAGTAGTTACTACTACTAGTTCTAGTAGTAACTATTACTACTACTACTACTACTACTACTACTAGTAGTAGTAACTACTACTAGTAGTAATAACTACTACTACTAGTAGTAGTAGTTATTAGTAGTAGTAGTAGTTACTACTACTAGTAGTAGTAGTTCTATAGTAGTAGTAGTAGTTACTACTAGTACAGTAGTTACTAGTAGTAGTAGTTACAGTAGTTACTAGTAGTAGTAGTTGCTACTACTAGTAGTTACTACTACTAGTAGTAGTAGTAGGTAGTAGTAGTAGTTACTACTAGTAGTAGTAGTTACAGTAGTTACTACTAGTAGTAGTAGTTACAGTAGTTAGTAGTAGTAGTTACTAGTAGTAGTAGTAGTACTACTGGTAGTAGTAGTACTAGTTGTAGTAGTAGGTACTAGTAGTAGTAGCGCTGTAGAAAATGAAGGTAGACATTACAGTAACAATACAATTTGGTACAAGAGGAAACAGAGGGCCCTGCTCGTTAGAGCTTACAATCTAGGAGGAAGGGTTGAGTGATACAAGAGGTAATAGCTGTGGGGGGTGAGCTGATGGAGGAAATAAATAGCAGTTTACTAGTTAGAAGCAGGATAGGCTTCTTTTAAAGAGGTTTTCAGAGATGGTCTAAAGGTGGACAGATCGGTAGATAGCTGGACAGATTGGAGTAGGGAGTTCCATAGGATAAGAGAAGTCCTGGAGGTGACACGGGAACTAGAGAGCAGAAGGTCTTGGGAGGTTTGAACGGTTGAAATGTTGAGACTAGGTTAGTGATATAGCTGGGGGCAGAGTTGTGGATGGCTTTGTAAGTTGTTGTTAGTATTTTGAATTTTATTCGTTGGGCAAGTGGAAGCCAGAGGAGGGATTGTCAGAGAGGGGTAGCGGACACTGAACGGTTGGTAAGGTAGTAGCAGTTAGTAGGTGCTAGTAGTAGTAGTAGTTAGTAGGTGCTAGCAGTAGTAGTAGTTAGTAGGTGCTAGCAGTAGTAGTAGGTACTGGTAGTAGATGCTACTAGTAGTAGTTAGTAGGTACTGGTAGTAGTAGTTGGGACTTCTAGTAGCCTTGTTAACAAAAAGGTAAAACCTGTCACTTATAGACTTAATGTTGTGTATATCTTGACAATGAACAAGCCTCATTTCCGTATGTACTTGATTCCTGCAAGTAAAGGGTGGGTAGGTAGCTTGAGCACCGCAGGTCTCCACTGCCTTAATTCTGAGAGATTGGCTTAAGAAAACTTTACTAATAATTGGGTAATTTCTCACCAAAGCATTCAGCAAGTGTGACAGAATGCAGCGTCCGACTCCTGCCCTTCTCACCAACTCGTGACCGAAAGACCAGCCAATCTCCCACTGCGCTGTACAATTTGTGCCAGCAGCCTGGGAGCGATTGTTACTTGGTCAGGTTAATTACGCAATTAACCCTTCACACTGCCACCACTGCAGGAGGAAACTCGCAAACCCTAGCAGTAACACTATATTAGTATAAGCGTCTGTAATACACACTGTCACCACAGACAGATATATTCAGAGGATTATTACATACAGTAGCACTCTTCAGAGACAGGGATTCTTTAGTTTGCATTAAAAGCTTTAGAGACAGTTTCAACCCTTTTCAAAATAGGATATTACTAAAACGGTCAAAACGATGCAATTAAAATATTTACAAAAAAGCTGTTATAAGGATATAAAGAGAGCAATATAACAGAGAAAAGAAAGGAGTTCAGAAGGCAGAATACTTGCAATGTCGTTGGTTTGAGCAGAGTCCAAGTGTCTGAACAAAAAGGTTCCCTTTATACTTAAGTTAAACTCCAACAGGTACAGGTAGCATCCTAGCAACTAGCAGATTAATATTCAGAATTCTATTTCAAACGCAGGGATACCAAACACCGTGCACCCTTGTCACCCAGGAGGGAAGAGACTGCTTTCTTCTCTCTTCCAGGTGCTAATATAGTCATGTAAGGCCTTGTTTGACTCATATTAAAATGATCTATCCAAATATATACCTAATATTAATGTACCTAGTTTTTGCTTAACTTTATGAATTGTATGAAAAATGTGTACATGTGGAATGTACGTTTTATAGCATGCTCTAGCCCTAATGGCCTAACAGGTCATGACTGACTGAGTTATTTTTTTACGATCGGGCAGAGGAAAGTGGCTTTCAAAGCAGACCCCTGGCACCAGGCTAATTAGCGGTTTACAGCCCTGGAGCTTCATCTAGCTGTGTTTTATTTAGGATAAGAGGCCCTTTTGACCTCCGTTCAACTTATAGCTATAAATTTCATTCAAGAGGGAGGAGGAAGTACAGGAGAGACAACATGGCTGAGACGTAACAAGATGGCTGTCACGTACAGCGTCCATGTCTCTGTTGCGCACAATCGTCACAGCCAGTCCTCCTGTTTCTCATATTACGTTTGTTGCTCATGCCAGTGAATGCTTTTGAGGAACAGAACTGTTTGTTGAATAGTCTTTCAAATCATCCACCATGAAGCAAAAGGTACAAGGGAAATCCTCCAGCTATCATCCCGATTTGGCGTCCTTCTTTATTCTATAACGGTTTTATTTGATTAAGTGTTTGGCAATTTGTACTTAAAATCCGGCGTTAGTTGGAATTTGACTTTAAATGAACTATGACTTGTTGGGTGTCTTTATTGTATGTAGTCTAGAACTTTACATGATGTCACCATCTAATCCAACTAAGGGTTACACACAGGGGCGGACTGACAACTCATGGGGCCCCGGGCAATAGGGGATCATGGGGCCTGTGTCCTTGCCCAAACTCAAAAAAGCCTATGAAAAAGGTACCAGGGGCATCTTATAGGGCCCCCTACTGACCCTGGGCCCTCGGGCAGTGCCCGAGTTTCCAAATGGTCAGTCCGCCCTTGGTTACACATATACAACTGTGTTAGTTTTGTCAGACTATAGTAGTCCGCAATTAACAGTTGATTGTAAGCAGAAACAAAATTAATTCCATAGAAATATGGTTACAGCCTAATGAGACCAGGCTGCCGTACATCCATTCCAGCACCAGCTTATAAGGCCACCTGTAGCTGGATCTTTGCTGACTTTTCCATCTAAAGATACAATCTGTCTGTCATGCTGATCCAGCGACTTCAATAATTCTTAGCTACTGGCTTTAGCAGTAACTGCACCTATGTGTGTTGGTACAATGTGTAAACATATAACCCATATACTGCATTTTTGGCACAGTTTCAGAAACCTTTTCTAAGGGGTGTGGGTATGGAGGTGTGAATGTAATTTATTTTATTTATTTATTTTTTGTTAAAAAGGTTGATACTATGACTCTGCTGCCTGGAGATCATGTAACCATCTACCTCTGCATTTGTTTACCCTAACTATTTTTAAAATCAATGTGAGTGCATTTTTTAACTGGATTTTGTATTTTCATAGGTTGCTCAAGCTGATTCTGAGGAGCACCCTGTAGTGGATTACGCTTTCCCCACATATACAAGAGAAGATGTGAAGAAACACAAAGCACTGGCTGACAGGGTGTGGGTGACCTATGCAGGAGAAGTGTTTGACATCACAGATTTTGTAGAGCTACATCCCGGAGGAGACCGAATCCTGCTGGCAGCTGGAGGAGCTTTAGAACCTTTCTGGGCTCTTTATGGAGTGCACAAAAGTGAACATGTTCTGGAAATTCTGCAGGAGTACAAAGTGGGAGTACTTGGTTCAGATGACAAGGAAGAGGTGCAAGACTTGTCTGACCCCTACTCTCAAGATCCATCTCGACATCCAGTTCTTAAGATCAACAGTGCAAAACCATTTAATGCTGAACCTCCTCCAGAATTTCTCACTGAGAATTATATCACTCCAAATGAGCTCTTTTTCAAGAGGAACCATTTACCTGTGCCTGACATAAATCCCGATGAATACCAGTTAACTGTAGAGACACCCCATGGAGCAAATCAGGAAGTACCGTTGAAACTGTCCCTTAATGATCTGAAGACTAAATTTCCTCGACATGAGGTTATTGTTACCCTACAGTGTGCTGGAAACCGACGCTCTGAGATGAATGCAGTGAAACCAGTCAAAGGACTAGACTGGGGTACAGCAGCTATCAGTAATGCCCAATGGGCAGGGGCACTGCTAAGAGATGTATTGTTAGATGCTGGTTACACAGAGGACACATCCAGAGCTCTACATGTGCACTTTGAAGGACTGGATCAAGACTTAACAGGAACAAAATATGGAGCTTCCATCTCTTTTCAACGTGCAATGAACAAGCAAAGTGAAGTGCTGCTTGCTTATGAAATGAATGGTGAGCCACTTCCAAAAGACCATGGCTTTCCCTTGCGGGTTATTGTTCCAGGAGTAGTTGGTGCTCGCAATGTGAAGTGGCTGGGTCGAGTACTGGTGAGCGCAGAAGAGAGTCGTAGCCATTGGCAGCAGAATGATTACAAGGGATTCAACCCATGTGTAGACTGGGATACAGTGGATTTTAAATCTGCCCCAGCCATACAAGAGCTGCCTGTGCAGTCTGCAATTACAGAGCCAAAGCCTGGCCAAATGGTCACTCCAGATTCTGATGGTAAAGTGACTGTTAAGGGATATGCCTGGAGTGGAGATGGGAGAGAGATTGTGCGAGTAGATGTGTCTCTTGATGGAGGGAAGACCTGGAATGTGGCAGAGTTATATGGGGAAAAGCAGGGGGAAGGACATTCATGGGCATGGAAACTTTGGAAACTGGAAGCCTCGCTACCCACTGAAGACAAAGAAGTAACAATTATTTGCAAAGCTGTAGACAGCAGTTACAATGTGCAGCCTGATACAGTGGCACCAATATGGAACTTGCGTGGTGTACTGAATAATGCTTGGCACCGTGTGCATGTCTCTGTGCATAGAGATTAGCAATGAACATGTGCTTCATAGCAGTTTCTTCTGTTCACTGCCTAGAAATTGAACCAGTTACTAATATAGGAGGACTTAGGCGGATGAATGGGAAATGTGTTTTTTGCTATGCTCCCCCATTGAGTATGTTCCCTACACTCTGTGGTCACTAAGGGGCAATCTCTACAAGGGCAGACAGCATTCACAGAAACTTGTTCTCGGAGAAATATGAAGGTTACCATTGCAGCAATCTAATCTCCTAAATGCTAGTTGCCTGGCTGTCATGTTGACCTTCCCATTTAAAAACTCAGCACCACTGACCTGGAACAAGACTGCTGGTAAGGATTTATGCCTTTCCACACCTGCAAACTTGTTCTAGTCCAGGGTTTCCAAGTACTGAAGCCATTGTATTGGTCTAACAGCTAGGTGACTAGCATAGAGGGTTGCCAATGCCAACGTCTTCTATTTCACTCATGCCACATTTACGTTAAATCCTTTCCTAACTATCCAATGCAAAACGAGAAGGTTTTGACTAGTGGTGCACCGAAACGAGAATTCTGGTGCCGAACCCGATACCGAAAATTCAGAATGCACGTGGCTGAAAACCGAAATGTTTGCGCATACGGGGGTGGGGAGGCTCAAATTTTTATTTTATTTCTTCACTATACCTCTAAGAATGAGCTGTCATCCTCTCCTCTGCTAAGGGCCAGGGTCACTGAGTAATGTCACTGGGTGACCCCGCCCCTTAGTTTCCCTTCAGTGGAGGATAGGATGACTGCTCATTCTTGGAGCTATAGTAAAGGGGGTAAAAAAACTGGTAATTACATTTTAAAAACTGGCAATGACATTTAGCGGTATCTCACTATGTTCACTGCTCCTCTCCTGCCATTCTCTGACACCCCCCCCCCCCCCCCCCATATGTCCCATTTCGGCACCTGTATCAGCTAAAATTTTCCTATCGGCAAAATGGCAATACGGCTATTTTCAGCTGATGTTTCGGCGTCAAATTTCGGTGCATCTCTAGTTTTGACTGATCTTCTTCCTTTTCAAATTGGCCATCAAAGCCTTAAACTAGAAAATAATAAATTGTGTTATTCATTTGAATAAATACTTGGCTGCTATGCACTGGTTAGAATTTAAATCTGAACTCTAGGAATCCTGACAATCCTCCCTTGAAGTAGAGCCGCATCCACACTGCATTATGTTCAGTAAACCATTTAAAGGATAAGTTTACCTTTTGGAACACGTTTCATGTTCTGTTTTTAGGGTAGAACATAGAACATATTCCCATAGCTACAGCTGCACCCAAAGCCCCCCCCCCCCCCCCCCCCATGACCATACGGGTAAACTTCTCCCAATACTATGTCAAATTTTAAAACCGCATGGCCATGCAGGGCTCCGCTTGCACGGCCGCATCATTCATTCACGGACTTCCGTGAATGAACTGCAAGTCCCAACCGCCTTAGCGGCTGTGGGCTTTTTTGTTTGTTTTTTTTTTTTTTCCAATTAATTTTACAGGCTCCTGCAACAAAAAATAATAAATGCACATTTTTTTTTTTTTACCTACAAAAAAATGAAAAATGTGCATTTTATTATTTTTGTCCAAAAGGTGAACTTCTTTCAGCTTGCCTGATCCTTCACTCCTGCAGCCTTTCCTCCATGCTTCAGCAATCTAAGGTCCTCTGACATTATTAAGACTGATGCAGGGACAGTAGCCCAGCATTGGATATGAGAACACTAAGGGATATTCCACTACCAGAGCATCAGGGATTGGAGGATCCGGTAAGTAAAAAAGTTTTTCTGCACCCTAGACTTAAGAGGAGCTAACTCTTGCAGTGCAGGTGCAGGAGGCTTTTTAAGATTTTTAGGTTTCCTGGAGTTGGACCTTAAGCCCACCACCAATACCCTACTATATATAGTGGGAAGGGACAAAAAAAATCCTTGACCTTTCTTTGCATGTGTTTTGAATTCAAAAATGCATTTAAATCAGGAATATGAATACAAGATTAATCATTTGTCACTAGACTAGAGACAACTGCTTTTAACAAAGCACATGTTTTAGGTAAATTAAGTATTTACTCTTTCCAGTTCCAAAAAAATAGTTTTGGCTGGAGTTGAGCTTTAATTTGAAGGCTACTAATTAATTTTACTGCTTTGCTTGGAGGTTTTTTTTTTTTTTTTTTTTTTTCAGTCAAAGCACCCTTTTGAATTGTGAACAATCCCAGAGCAGTCCGGGGGCTCGTTCGCACCAGGGGATGCGTCCGAACAAAAAAATGTGCTTGCCTGAGTTTTTAACTGTAGGCTGTAAATTATACTCCCCCTCCTAGCACACCCCCCCCAAACCCACCACACCTTTTTCATCACCTGACTATATGCTAAAGGGTGCAACTAGCCCTTGCTGCAGCATTTGGCAGCTAATTAAACTGCAGTTAAAGTGGTGTATTTATTATTCTATATGCAGCATGACTGCATTACATGAATCCCGAGGGTTTACTTGGGCTTTAATGTGGTTGACGACAAGTTGACTTTAAGGCCTGAAATGCACCTTTTCATACTTTTACTTGTGTTTCTTTTGCAATACAAAGCCCAGTGTAAATGCGTGGCATTTTAATGTTTCCTTTGATTTCAAAGAAAAGAACACATCAGACAAAGTGCACTAAAACAGGAAGGTGTGTTTTCACCCTACTGCTGCATGGTATATTACGATTCCATGAATGAATGACTGGCGGGTCCAGCTTTGCTTATTCCAACTTTTTTTTTTTCTTTTTTTATAATGCTTTTTTAAAGCGTTGAGGTTAAGTATTCATCTCTGTCTGCTACTGGACTGTGATCTTTATTCAACAAGCCTTTATTTGTCTACAGTGGGGAGGAGAGTGATGCACATACATTGTTAAAGAGGAACTGAACTGGAAGCTGTGCTCACAAAAGGTAAAGGATTGGTCACTCATATTGCCTTTTGGATCCCTTCAGCTGCCGTTTCCCTAAAACAGTTTTTATGTCTGCCCTTTTTATGCACCGTTTGTATGGAGTCAGCCACCATGGTAGGGGGCAGGGTTTGGCTTCATGTCAGAACTGTCCCTGGATGACTGGTGGTGAAAATACAAGAAGCAGTAGGAAAGGTGCAGGAAGCACAGATGCATGGAATGGATGAAGCAGAAAGTGTCTTGTACTACAGCCTTCTCTTGTACAGAGATGAGTAGCGGCTTCAAATCTCATGAAACAGTCAGAAGCGCAGTGTTTTGTTTTTTGATTAACAAAAGGCACAGTCTTAGTTGCACTGTAGATATAGGCCCATGCACATGGATGTTTACATGCCCAAAAGTAACATTTTTGGTGTCTACCCATGGCTGGAAGGGCACAGGTTAATAGCTTCTGCATCTGTGTTTACCATGTGAAAGTGGCATGTTCAAGGGAAATATGGCATATGTGTTTGTGCATGTAAACATTGGTGCAGAAGCCATCAGCATTTATAGGTATATGTCTGCATGCCATTCACTTTTACGGGTGGCTGTACAGGGCACTTATGACTCTGGCACTTTCCCACACCCGGGGAATTAAAAGTCAAAACGCCAGAAATCTTATGCTTGCAGACTTTTGAGCATGTAAATGTGCTTGTGCGTGGGACTTTACAGTTATGTAGCTCAAGACAGGAGAGCCTAGAACAGGAAGTGCACTACTATTTTTCCATGGGAATTCAAGACAAAGATAAAATCTTGTCGTACTGTTTAGGCACAAAGATATAGGCTAGTAATGTTCTAAACTTTCACAGTAGAAAACATGGATGTGTTTTTTTTCGCCATGCCATATGGCCAATGAATATAAACAGGCCTTGTAATACACTATACTACATTGAATGTTTGCTTAAAATATAAATGTACTTTTTACAAGCAAAATAACATAGTAAAATATATTATTTATAGTAACTGTGTCTTCAATTAAACAGAATTTCCATTTAATCGAATTTCTAAAACCATGTCAATAGAGCGGTTCATTTTCTGAATTGGTAGAAAGAACACTGAGTCTAGAGATTATAAATTGCAGTGGGGGACAGCTCTGGTATTAAACTTACCAATCATTAGATGTGTGGTAGCTGCATCAGTTTTCATTTTTTTGGCTTTTTTCCTACTGTTTTCACCTGGGGATCTGGCCAGAAACATACCTCCTGAATTGGTGAAACTCCACTCTGGAGGCACAGCAGGCAGCATCTTTGTCAGTCTGGGGAGTGTTAAATGTACTAGCAGATTTAAATATAAATAAAAAAAGGAAGCAAAACTCCAGCTAACACTTTATAATTTGTTACAGCAAGCATTTTTTTCCTTTTTGGATAAAGGTTTTACATGAATAAATAAAAGCTGATCATTTTTTAATCACCTCTGCCAGTGGTAAATGGATGGTCTCATCAATGTAAACTGATACATTCTGCTGAAGAACTTCTGAATAACAGCACAGTTGCTGCCTGAATCACCAGATGAAATTAAAATGCCAAAGAAAGAACTGATGGAGCCATCACATCTAAGATTTGGTAAGCTGCAATATAATGTATACTTTTGGGTTTAAAACTGCTTTGAGTATAGCTAAAACTAAAAACAGAAGCATCTGCACAGGGGACATAACTTGGTTATTCTGATGTGTTCCTTGTCCATATTTCTCTGCTTATGGTAGAAATCTTGCTGCATCCCAAACTCGCACCCAGTGTACTGCTGGTTTATGTTTAGGGGCCTCAGTAAAGCACTTAACTTACATGATCCTTCACTCCTGCTGACTCCAGTCCTCGCTGCCTTTTTTAAAAAAAAAAAAAAAACAAAAACAAATTTCGTGGTGTTTCTTTTTTTTTCTTTTCTTCTTTTGTAGCAATATCTAATGATGCTGTAATGGCACGTGTTCTAACATTGCTCTAGGTTCTAAGTGACATTCAGTGCTTAACAAAAAGGTGTAGAGATTTTGAATTGCAGTGAAGGACAATTTTAAGTTTTAGCTAAAACTGAAAGCACGAGGAACATAACTTGATGTGTTCCTCTTCA